TTTTGAAAAATGTGTTCAATATGTGTTCAATTTATCTACAGAGACGTTACGGCGAGTTTAGACATCTTACTTGCTGGCTGCTATTTGCCATTAACACTCCTCTCACTAGCCTTGTCGTAGCTCTAGATTCAAAAGTTTGGAATGGATTTTTCCTTATATGTTGTAATGTCGCGGATAGTAATGAAGTCTTTAGCAACTAGCAGAGAGCAACTAACTGTAAGAACCTAGACCTACAAGTTCCAAAGTCTAGGTTCAAAAAATCTGAAGCAAATTGAACGTCCAAAATCAGCTGCAGTTGAGAACATAGAAGAATCCAAACACTTTCTCTTATCACTACAATCTAGCATTGTTGGCTTACGTAATTCAGGGTATTGTTCGCGAAGACGCTTTGCATTTCTGCATGCATGTGCGCCTAGCAGAAGTGCAGTCAAATTGACCCTTATTAGAAAGCCAACGCAAAAGAATACCGTGTAACTCGCATGCGTATGAAGTTTGAAGAGATCCCATCCAATTAGCCGAGAGGTTATATAGAGTTTTCCTGATGTTGGAAAGGGCATATGGGGCTGTTCGCTAACCAAAGATGACCTTGCACTTTTAAAGCAAGGGAAGCAGGGTGACCAACTTAATGTATCCAATAGATGCTTGCTTTTGAACTCCCAAGCAGCGTTCGGGGAAGGCGAAATCGTCGCCTTTGACCCCAACAAGCCATTTCTTGTGACTACTCAAACCATTGAAAACAGTGATAGAGCAAAAACTTTTAATTTTGGGGGAACCTCTGCTGACAGGACAAATGGAGAGGGTCTAGCGGGCGAGGTAGGTTACCAAGAACGAGAGAATGATGACAATGATGACGATCCAAACTTACGACAGACGCTCGCGTAAGATGCGTTCACTCATCGGCCTCAAGATGCAAGTGAGAAGGTCAATCAATCAAGGCGCCCGAGGCAAAGACATACAACGCGCTAAACTTTACCTTCAAAATAAAGAAGAATTGTTCTTAGTGTCGTGCGACATCAGGAACACGGTGCGTGAGATTTTCGTTAACGGTTGCAGATATCAACTCTTACAACTAACAATCGGAATCGGTTGAAAAGAGATTGGAGCTTTCCATGGACTCGAACATGTTCTAAGAAAAGCGCATGTTTTAGTTCCCGATTTGTGCGTGGAGATTTTAAATAGAATGTCTATAAATACGCTGCCATCACAGAAATGCTTGATGCTGCTTTGTTCGACGAAACCCTACCATATTGTAAAAAACCTTACCATGTTCCCCACACAAAAAATCAGCCCTATCGCACCCAAGATCGTGGGAAACCTCCAGTTCGTTCATGATCGTTTGCGATATCGAGCAAGGTACGATGAACGCCAACAGCAGGGACAGGCATTGGAAGTGGGCGGAGCTTACAGTCAACAGCTAAAAAGCGATAAAATCGATATTTTAGAGGTTAATGAGAAACCAAAACCTCAAAAATCGAGAAAATCGATAAAAGCTGACATTTTAAAGGGTTTTAAAATCCCGAATATCGGCAAAATTGATAAAATTGGTATTCTCGAAGTTGCGAAATCCCGAAAATCATCAAAAATCGATAAAAACATTTTGGAGGGTTCAAATTCACGAAAATCGGCAAAAATCGATATTCCTCGAGATTGTGAAATCCCGAAAATCGTCAAAAATCGATAAAACCGACATTTTGGAGGGTTCAAAATCTCGAAAATCGATAAACTCGGAGATTTGGAGAATTTGGAGATTTCGCAACCTCAACTTTGATTTCGCCAAATTTTTGACACTCATAGCCAAGATTTTGATCCCCAAGACTTCACCAACTCCCAAACTCCGCCCACTCAACCGCAAGCCCCGCTCACTTCTCTTTGAACGGCCACAACTTTCCCACTGTGAGCGCCACCACCTCCCCATCAACCCACGCAAAACTCTTGATCCACCGTCTAAAGCCCGCCTACTTCACCCAAACGCCTTCAAATGAAGCTCCACCCCCTTTTCCTCCCAGCTCTAGAGAATGAGCGAGAAACTAAGCGAAAAATTCGAAAAAGTAAAAATAACCCCACTTTCAGCGCTTTTGAACAGCTAAAACTCTTCCAAACAAGCTCCGCCCGTGTTCTACCTCACACCACGATCAAAATTAAGGAAAATAAGCGAAAATAAGAAAAAGAAGGAAAAATAAGCAAAAATTGCGTTTTCCTAACACTATTTACCCCCTTTTAGCCGTTTCTAGCCCCTCACCCGGTCCAGATGGCCGCCGGTTAACTATCACACGTGCTGCAGTAATATTAGGCTGGAAACTAAGTTTTGCAACTCGTCTCATAACTCCACTCTCTTTGGATATGACGCACTCAAACTTTGGCATTATGTAGAAGGCAATGTGAGCTTCAAGTGAGCACAAGTTGTCTAGATTTTGACACGAAATAGAAGAGTTTAAGGCGTTTTTCGAAAACTAGTGAAATTTGAGAATTTTTGGGGTTTAAAGCTAAAATGAAGCCTTTGGCAGCCTAGACCATGCACGGAAATCCGGATTCGTCTACATATTAATGCTGGAGGTTGACTCCTTTGGCCTATTAAGAAAGAAACAAACTATAATGACATGTCGAGATTTGGCGTCCTCATAAAGTCGAACGAGTCGATGTACGCAAGAGCTGCTGGGGACGACCGTCAATGACTAAGAAGTCCGAAGCTCAAAATCCGCCGAGACTTTGCATAGTAAGGTCATTTGACCTGCCAAACACGAATATCACATTCATTTGTTGAATCAACGACATTTTCCTTGTTTAGGGTGAGACCCCATATCGTACACCTACAGTAATCCTACAAAAAAGCCCTTATCACACAACTTCACTATCGTTTTCGTGATCAGCATGTCGGATAACACCCCCGTGCCAAGTCTCAGCCAAGTCCGTCAAACTTTGTATTTTTCCCCTTCATACCATGCACCTACCCTGTAACCCTCACTGCGACGTCAGAATTTGATAGGCAGCAGCTGCGCTTGTAGTTTACGTGGTAACCAACGCAGTGGCAAAATTTGAGTGCGCCATGTTGAGTAAGAGGGAAGTTATGAGACCAGTTGCAAAACTTAGTTTCCAACCTAATAAAGAGAGGGAAAAAATGAGAAGGGAGAAAGAGGAGAAATTGCGAGGCCTGAACTAAAAAAAAAACAAGTCCGGGAAGTATTATAGATGGGCTCCCACAGACGGAGCCCCTACATTCTCCGATTTATATGTGGTGTCCCCTCGAATACGAATAGAAGAATGGCTATACCAGGACTTCATCCCAACTCTCCACGCAGATAAAATTCAAAATGTGCATCATCGCAGTTATATAGCGCCTCCTACAGGGAAACTCTAGGCACAAGCTAACACTAGAAAAACAGAGCAAGGCAGTAATATCATGTAGGCAATGTGATAAATATAGACCAGGACTTCGTGACATCAAGAATCGGGTTTTGTGGTGTGAAAGCGTGTCTATCAATTGCTAAGGTTGAAGTTTATCAATCGATAACAGTGATTTCGCAAAGTTTATTAGAGCTCCCTGCACTCCATATGTCGCGAGAGCTCAGTGATTTCTATGACTTTTATATGGAACTAGCTGACATACCCGGCTCCGCTCGGCTTTGCCAGTACATTATAATAGAAACCACCACGCTCTATTTCCGTGAAACATCTCTCTGTTCCGATGCCACCTCTAACTTCTGCGCCAGCTTCGAGTCTTGTAGCTCAAAATGTGCAAAGAAAACGATGAAATGTCAGATTGGTTCATAATTAATGCAGGTTTTCTCAACTTCCACTTCTAATAAAGATAATTCTTTTCAAAACAATCTTTCTGAACGCAACAAAAACTATTGTAGACAGCAGACTTTTAGCTATACAACGTATACTTTTGCTTGATTGCATTCATGACGGGAAAGATTTTACGGCTCAAAATTTACCGAAAGTTTTTTCCGGAAAGTCCCAGTTTAAAAGGAGCATAACTTACTCTCAAAAGAACTAAATTGGAGCAAACTTTGCCCATTGAGTAGCCGATGGTCGGTTCAGTAGTAGCGTGGAACTTGGCTTTTACCAAAATTTTTCTGCGGAAAAATATTGCCAAGAAAGCAAAATTACCATTTTCTCCTGCATTTTAGAGAAGGCAAAAATCTGTATTTTTTGGATTCCTTCAATTTTTTCTTATTTCAAAAACACGAAAATTTTGCCGTTTTCCTACTATTAGTAGTCCTTGGTCTACTCTACCAAAACCAAGTGAAAGTTCTGTAATTGCTTCTCAAGTAAGCATTTTATAAAGCTCCGAGTTCCCAGCGTTTAGCTAAGTTTGAGTCAAAGCTTCTCGGCTCAGAATTTCTAAAAAATTTAGCTTTGGTGCATTTTGTAGCACAAATCCTCGCGATTATTATCACATATTTTTTGAAACAAATTTGAGCATTTTTCTTGGAATTACGGCAAGTCGAATGAAAGGAAAAATTTTCAAGTTTGAGTTCGTCACATTTAAAGGCACGGAACTTCGGTCTGAACAAAGATCTCCGAAAACGAAAGTCTATGTTTGAAAGTAGAAGAAACGAGCTTTCGATAATCCAGATGGTTTTGGAGAAAAACGTTTTTTGATTGAAAACTAGCGTTTGAAAAAAGATGTAGGAAAAACGTGCATTAATTAATAACCAACCCAATATATCGATCATCAACGAAAAGTAAACTAGTGCACCCGTCCCTGCCCGAAATGTAGGCGGCGTGGCGTTGTACTACAAGGCCCTCGCCGCCAAAGCTCGCCGCCTCAAGGGGCACGCGCCGAGCTGGCATACGGTAGTCCGCACCCATTTTGCACCGGTGCGCGCAAGCCATGAGGCAATTGCGCGAACGCCGCATCGTAAAACCCTCGTCGCACTACATTGCAAAACTCAGACAGGTTTATCAAGAAGAAGCAAGTTGCCGTGATTTTCAGAGTGAGTAGCGTCCACCACTGTATAAAATGTGATTTTTTATGTGCTCATAGATCATGCCTTCTAGTGAAGGATTTCGCATCGCAGACATAATGGAAGACTTGTATAAGGTGCGCCTTCAAACGCAAGCTCGAATCTGCTTTCCAAGTCGGGTGACGATGCTTGGGATGAATTTAGTACCTAAAGATACAGAATTTACAATAAAGGCATGCCTCTTTTCAAATTTACGTACTTGCGTAAATGCCCCTACGCTTATGGAATAGCGATCATTGTCAGTATCTTCATTTTCAGCTCCTCCACTGACATAATTACAGTTAACCCCTCTCCGGGAAACGATCCTTAGTTGAAGTGGCCCCTCCAATTGTGACGTAGCATGTAATGGGCATCAGATGCTGATTTCAAATCCGTCTTCTTTTTCTGCAAGGGACCTGCGAATTAGGAGTTATGAGCACTGAATGCTCAATCAAAACAAATAGTCATCAATAAGTGGTGAGAGCCCTTCCAGCTCGCAGATGGGATAATGATGTGATTGGAACAGCGAACAAGATTTTTTTCCTAAAGAGAGGTCCGACAATCATCAGTGTTTCATTTTGAGGCCACTCTGACTGAAAGTCTTTTTCTTTTCATAGCGCAGATGACGATGGCTATTGACTGTAATATTTAGTCGAGGTTCGCTTTCTTGAGCGGGCGGGGCTTCCAAGCTTTATTTCACATTTCACATTCCTAACTCTTTTTCCCCAAAAATTTAGCATAGATCTTAAGCGGTCTGTCGAACACCGAGTGCTGATTGAAAACGGTTGATCGTCATAAAAGCTCCTGTCAGTCAAGAGCGCTCAACAAAGAATTGGACAGAAGCTTAAGTAGCCAATCTGACTGAGCTTATCGTTAGATGCAGCATGAAGCGCTGACTTTGGAATTGTTTTCTTATAGGGAGGCACTCTTGTGGAAGAAGCTATAAGCCAGTAAAGGTCATTATTTCGCTAAGAAATTGTGCGTGCAAAGTGCAATTTGGCGGTACGAACCATGTTCGCCTTAAAGGCAGTGTCTCACCAAAGTTGAGGTCGCGCGGATCTTCACATATTCTATTAAAGGGACCTCTAATTAGGCCATTTCAACAAGTCCCACTCAATTTGACCCCCTCCACGCTGAGAAAAATTCGCTCAAAGTGGTACGCGGAGAGCGAGTTGGTACGCGCGAACGACTCCATCGGTCTCCTCCCTTACCCGTTTGAACATGCCTCCACTTGGTATCCACCTCCCCTCTGTTGCTGCCACTGTGGCTGAGGCTGAGGTTGGAAGGCATAACTCGTCCATGTTGCTCCCGCGGGGCCTCCAGAAAACGGGGTTTTTGGAAACTTCGTGCGATTTCAAGCCCATACAGTGGTAGACAGGGTCCGACAAGCTTGCAAAATGCAGAAATCTCGGCAACTAAATTTTGGTGAGACACTGCCTTTAATGCTAGGGCAAAACATGCAGCTACTCCATATAGCTCATAACTGAAGGTGAGCTAAAGGGGCAGTAATGTGCTCAATCTCGCAATTTTTGGTGCGATTTTCTCACAACAAAACTGCTCATAACTTCGCCTACAAAGGAGTTTAGCAGATACGGAAAACATGTTTAGAGTTAGCATTGCAGATTGTTTGGATTGGCCAGTTCTGATCATTACTCAGTTTCGTTCGAATGGAGCGGGTAAACGCGAGGCAGAGCCCGATCTCTCGAGGTTAGGATCCTCCAGCGAGACGTTGCCAAACTTGCCAGATTGGACCCAAGAGTTCGCGTTGTGTCCTTATTCACCGTCCAACCATGAGAATGATAGAATCGTGTAATGGCTTGGTGTCATTTGGCCACATTCTCTTCATTTTATACAATAAAGTTGTGCTGTAATTTGTTAAGAACCCCAGAAGTAGTATGACTTTCTGGGCGCAAATGTATTTATGGATGCAGCATTATAAGGGTTTACTGACTCTAACTGTAGAGCTCAAACTTTGATTCTTTTTCCTGCAATTTGAAAAATTCCTTCATCCAGTGAACTTTATTATCTTCTTTGCGTCAACAGTGTTTGAAGATTGGTAACAGCATTTGAAATAGGATACTTTCATACGTTCACTTTCCTTGTGCCATTATAATTAACTTTGACAAACTCCACATGGATTCTTTTCAATCGGAATTTTCATAATCAAGCAAATGTCATACTAAACAGTTTTCTAGACACATCGTCTCCACGCACAGTTTAGGACGGTAAGTGGTCTTACAAATAGTTAAAAATCAGTAAACTTCCGAGGTTTTGCAGCTTTAGACTATTGTCAAGTCCAAGAAATGCACTCTCTTAACTTGAGTCCTTCACCCTGATTGTCTTACTTCATATGAACATAACATTTACGACAGAATCTTTATTATATATATGTCAGGTAAAAAGAGGGGAAGGGAAGCCGCCGGTCACCGGTCTACCGACATTAAGTTGTTGCACTGTTAACACATGTTCGTTAGTTGTATCTTGAGTTGTGCGTGGAGACTTTGGCAAAAATAGGTTCAAGTAAATTACGTCGAATGCTCATATGATGCGGACAGATCAGTCCTCGCGATGTCTTTGCCGCTGTTTTACGTTCCTGTTCTCTTCTCATTTTCTTTATGCTTGCTGAAAGCAATAACAAAGTTTTTTGCTGTTATTATCGTAGTATGGACTCTTAAATCCTGAATCTTTGAAAAACTTCGCACTGCGTTCAATATAGCAATAACAGTAACCTCTGATTCAACTGGATAGGCAGGGTGAGGCTTTCTGACCTAATCAAGGACGCCCGCGCCCTCGACGCAGTCTGCGTCTCTCTCGCGCGCGCTCACTCTGATCATTTCCCAGCTTTGACTAGGTCACGAAGCCCCGCCTTCCAGCCGCAAATTTGGTTGAAGCAAAGGGTATGTACCAAGAATGTGAATCTAACACTCCAATTGCGGGAGTGCTGTATACAAGTAAGTCGAGTAGATTTTCTGTTCAAAGGCAGTGGCTCGGCAAAACCAAACATCTCGAAATTTTTATAAAAAGTTGCTTGCACCCTCAACATGAGAACGGTGCAGGTCCGAGCGCACAGCATGCTAGCTCTGCCTAAAAATTGGTCCTAAACCCGTGCACGCAAGCCATTCTTACACGCGTTCGGACGATTGCGATATCTCTCACATCGTCAGAGGCGGCATGCCGCAATGCCATGAACATGAGGGTCGCTCAACGACTCGACGTCTTTAACCGTGGCAGGAGCGTTCCGCTCGTCCAGATTCAAAATGAAGAGCCTTGAGAAATGCCGGTTTTTGCCATTTTTGCGCTCTTCAGGGTAAATTTCGGATTCAGCGCGTCGAGTCACCCCAGGTAAGCGAGAGAACCACAGACCGAGGTTTGCCGAGCCACTGCCTTTAATATAGGCCCGTAGTAAACCCCCATCAGGGCATCTCTCTTAAAACGGATCGGAGCTGATCTCATCGCGCCTCGGCACATTGCCAGGGGAGCGATTGATTTGGAGCAGATCACTTACTGGACATTCGCGTTTTCAAAGGTGGAACGTTTCTGCCATTTGTGCATTATTATTCAAATGGATAAGACTAATGTGCAAGCGGCGGGGCAGTGCGGCTAGCGGCACCATTTTTGCTGCTTGGCTCGGCGACCTTTGATAGCGGCTGCTATCGAAAAATCGATGATAGCCGCTATCAGAGATTTCACCTAGCAAACAACAAGATAAAACAAATACACACTATTTGGCATACATACGAGGAAAAAATATACTTAGCAAAAATAAATAGAAATGTAAATTCACATTCTTGTTATTTGAAGCGCTTCTTTGAAAAAAACAAGCAACAATTGCAAGAAAATGAAAAAAAAACTTTTTTCCGATTTCGTCGCGCAATCAGCTGTTGATCGATCCTCACTCACTTAGGCGCCGGAAACTGTGCAATTTTGGGAGTTTTGCACCGCAAAAGAACGTCATCTGCGATTTTTCCTATGTTACTCGGGAGCAACTTACGGGATTTTCTCTGTGCTTTCCTCTTTAGCACAGTATTTACCTTATGTCGTCGCCCGGTTCATCTCTGATGACTCCGGTCGGGAGCTGATCTCCCCCGGGCTTCGTCTGAAGCTCACCTGTAGGGTGACCTTGCATATTTACACCACGGAAAGTGGGCAGTCTTCATCTCACCCAACAAAGCCTTATATGAGGGCCTCAGGGGAGATCGTCTCCCGTGACCGAGCTTTACTACGGGCCATAGTGTGCTTGCACTGCAGGTAAATTGAGTAAAGCCTGCGCCTAAACAAGTAGCTATCCCTGTGACGCAGGTCATTTGCGCCCGCTAAATGCCGGCATTACTGGCTGGCTATTTGTTCATGCGCAAATTCTACCTCGTTTCTCTTGCTGTGCAAGCACTATATCGAGCGGAAAATCTACCCGAATGATAGTAGACTTCATGATGGAAATGCGAAAGCAGACTGGCAGCAAAAGGAGGCTACTTAATTGGAAATGCACGTGTATGCCTGACGCACAATGGACACCAAGCTTGCCTCGGTTATTTGCTTGTTATCAGGGATGCAGAGCGATTTGGTTGTCATTCTTATTTTATGCTGTTGTCCTCTCAATGTTGGACGAGGCCGAGCTACAGTCTCGTTTTCTGATGATATATCTAAAGTTAATTAAAATGCTGAAGAGTGTAGAACAAATAGATGCAAGGATGTGTATTCTTTTCAAAGGTATGTATCACTTGCAATTACGGTTTTAAATCGCAATCTTTTTTATATGTTTTAGTCTCGTCACATCCGTCCTTTGCCCATTCGCTGAGGAGCTTTCCATAATAGCACCTATGGACTCTCTGGTCTCCGAAAATTTCAGCGTCTGGCATAAATTGACCGCCGCATTCATCTGTAATCGGAAGATGTGTTGTTGTTTTCGATAAACAAAAATCATAATTTTGTACCTTTATTGCACACTTTGAAGATCCCGTTTTCCATGGTTTGCCCATAGTAAACCTGAATAAGTTTGTAAGCAGTAGTTGTGGTAGAAGTCACTGTGAAAACAGCTTTTTAGAAAACCTTCCTATTTAATAGCTCAGTTATCGAGGAGCGGCTAAAACATAACAAAGAGCGGCAAACCTAAGCGAAAAAAGGAACTTTTTTAACAGCAAACATATTTATTTCATTTCAAATGCGCTTTGTTTTTAGGCAAATTTGTTTATTTGCATTTATATCCTGTCACGTGCAAGCAGATTTGCTTCTAAAGGTGCGCGTGGCGGGATGTAAGAATATTTTTAGATTGTGTGGTCAAATCCCTTGTCTCCTTTCACCATATAAGTTCCAACAATACAGAAGTAGATAATAGGTCACTCCAGGAACGATTCGATTGCGATCGCACATTCACTACACTTTCTTCGCGTTTATATTCTACGTGTCTTGCAGCAAACTAAATTACCACACCTTATTCAGATGTGCTTTCCTAAACTATACATGCGAACGAAGAAAAATTGCAGCTTACCGTGTGGTCAAACAAAAGGAACTTTCTTGAAAACAAAAGAGTTTTTTGAAAGTTACATGTCTATAAGTAACAACGAGTTGGGGATCCCTTTGCTCTTAGTATCTCCCTCAACTAATGCGCTACACACAACTGCAAAAAACAAGTTTATCGCTAATTTGTTTTGTGTTTATTCTCAGCCCTCTTGGTGTTTTTGATAAGATGAGCTGAAGATCAAAACTGGTGACTAAGGCATCGCTTATTGTGTTATCAGGCGGGTGAAAAAAATAATGCAATTGCGACTGTGCACCTTCATTTGTGTCGCTGATCTGGTACGTATTGGCACGCCAATCGCAAGAATTCCTCGAGTAATTTTTTGTGTAACTCAATTTGACATTTTTAGTCCACTTGTTTCGTCTTCAGACACCAACAAGATTATTGGCCGAAAACTCTCACAAACAGAGTGCACCGTAATGGAATGTGTTACAATGCTCACCTCCTTTTTATGGTGGGTGTATCCGAACTTTTTGGGTGGGACTTGAGGTACCAAATCATTGTCATGGATGACGCGGAATGCATAGTTCTGCAAAGGGTAAAAATCAGTTACAGTATTAGCTCCCAAATTAGAGCTTGTTTTAAGACTCTATACTAAGAAAGTCTAAGCATGCATAGTTTCGCTTTTTTGCTTTGCATAGTAAAAGAAATAAATTAAAAAGACTGTAAAGACTTTCGAATTTCAAAACGTGTGAGGCTATTTCCCAAATCCCTTCCTTACTCTTCTTTCTTTACATGTGTTAAATAGAATGTTCGTAAGCGCTAAATCTTATAAAATTGTTTCCTTCTCCTCATTTCCAAATGACCGCGGATAGAATAATGTGCGGGGACAAATGCTGCTTAAGCTTCAAAATTTTTTGACATACAATTCGCTTGTAATCGTATACCGTGTTGTCATACCATCTTATTGACACTTTCAGCAAATTTTTGGTCGCCTGTCCTGGGCTGGCCAAACGTCATTAACTTTATTCTTGACATTTCTGCATTTCCTGACTCCACCAAATAAGATGCCACCAAAGATGCCAATGCACCTCCCAGTGAGTGCCCAGTTATCTGAACTCACATAATAAGGAAAGTTTTCTCCTTAAAGCGCGTACCCAAATGTCATATCCCGAGTGTGTACGAATCAGATCTCGAACATCTTCAAACATACTTCTGTCTAAATCATTTGTTCTCGTGGTAAACAGGCTGTGGAAAGCATTAAGGAAGTAGGTGTTCACCGACGAATCACCAAACCATTTCTTCTAAAAAAAACTTTTTTCGCTCATACAAGCATTTTGTGATACGCTTGACTTACATCTAAGAGGGGATGGAAAAACTCCTTGACAAGCTGCAATCTACTATCTGTTCCCCTGTAAAAAATGAAAAAATAATCATATTTTTCAAATGGATTTGATGTCAGATGCTATCGTCGTTATGTGTTTAGGAGATAGAGATCAGAGGTATTTCGAATCAAGTAAGCGGTATGTCAAGACTAGTGCCCTGCACCATCCCTTTTTGAGAACAAAGTTATCCTCTCCTATTTTAATTTTACAAATTCTCTCTCGACACATAGCGCATACACAAAATATATGTTCTCCAGAATACAAAAACTGAAACGAATTTTAGCTTATTTCCGTTGTTGAGGCGCACTTGTAAACAGAGGTAGATCGGAACGTGGTATCTATTATAGATCGAGTTCTTCTCTTAAAAAAGCAAGGAAAATCATCTTTGCTGTCCAAGGATAGATTTTTTGCCTGCGAATTGTTCATGATAGCAACATCAGAAACTTTTGTGAACCCGCATACTGCACTAAACAAGCAACTGGTTATTTAAATCTTGTATCCAAATTGCTTGGTGAAAACAAAATATAATTTCCAGCCTGCCTCCAAGATTTCCGCCGGGCCCTAGTCAGCGCCTAACAGACGTTAGACACAAAAAACTACGTCTATAAAGTTGTATTTGTTATTCGTTTAAGGATTGTTATTGAACATGTTATGAAAATGTCAGGGTAACCTGAAACTCAGCACTATTGCTTTCTCTTTGTTGAGCAGAGCCGTATATGCCGAACAGTAGGCCTTTCCAATAGCGAAGCGGCCTAAGGGGCCGCTGCAATCCGTTTTGTAAAATTTCACGACCTGAACAATATTTGCTTGCAAATCATATCTGTTGAGGAAAAAAATTCTATTTTTTTCATACTAGCAACTACATTCCTCATCCCCAAGGAATCCCTAAGATGCATGGCGAATTTACATCTCGTAGCAGCTTGAGTAAAAACTGCGGACTATCATTGTAAAAGTTAGAGTTCGAAGATGCTTCAAATTTTACAATAGTGTCTATATAAATGCGTACAATCATGCTATATTAGGTTGTTCCGAAAGTTCTGTCCGACTTTCAGTTGCATTGTTTCAACGCAGCTATACTCTTAGCGTTTTGCAATTGTTGCAGTATTATTAACATCATCTAAGCAATTTTCCTGCTCTTTCCTTTTCTAAATCTCGATGAAACAACTTCTCAGTGATGGAGTCTCAAGCCTCGAAGTTGAGTCGACAAAATGCAGTCATGCTCAAGAAAAAGTTTCTATAAAATGGATTTCCGCAGTGTTCAAAATTATTATCAATTCTCCATTGAGTTAGGGTGCAGTGGGCTAGCATATGCACACTTCTACGCCTACATAAAAATGTCTTACTTTTCAAATATTTTCAAAATTCGAAGGTAACTCACTTATTCTAAAGCGACAACAACCTATGTATAAAGGCTGATGTATCCGATATCGCATATGTTAAAGTGAAGCGAGAGCAAGCAGTGACCATAAGTCAATCAGCTTTTTTCGTTCGTGACAACAAGGAAAGGCCAGATATCCGGAAGCCGGCATACTTGCTCGCGCGAAGGAGGGCTCAAATAATGGCCTTTTTTGATTTGCTCATAAAAAATTTCTCTGCAACAAAGACAACATGGATTCTCTTTAGGCATAAAAAGACTTCTCAAATGTAGGTTATCAATGATGTCAACCGAATATGCTGCCTATCCTTACAGGCAGTAACATTAGCTCATCAAAATTGACTTTTCGAGGAAACCATGCGGAATCCTTCAAATTTTCTCTTCTTTCTCAATTGCCTTTTTCACATAGCAAATTATATTTATGATAGCCATAAACTCGGTTAACCCAACAAAATTTAATTTGATCAAAAATATTGACTGGGAAAAGTTATAGCATTTTAAATCGGAGAATCCGCACATTAGGCAGAACTTTGGGAACAACCTAGTTTAGCCATGACTATGTTAGCAGTCATTCTTGAGTTATTTTCACTTTCGCTCATCTGCCATGTTCCATTTTTGATGGCACTCATGTGAATGATATCCAAATGTGTCTACGCAGCTGTGGATACGTTACGCATATTTTCTTGTGTCTCTAAAATGAAATGGGGACAATCTTTAAGAGCTAAAAACATGCTTACTTTCAAGGAAAGGCAAAGATAAGTCAAAGATACACAACTTTTTTCGAAAGGAAAAGTACTCCTATCTGAAGTGACAAACGCAAATATTAGGTTGAACCGAAAGTTCTTTCCCCCCACTTTCAAAAATTCATAACTTCTGATTTTTTCAACCAATTTGGCTGCATCTATTTTTGTATGAAAGAGTAACTCATGCTCTTCATAATGACATTTTAGTTGCTTGCTAATGGTCATCTGTTGCATAGATAGGAGCGATAGAGGAAAATCAGTCAAAATTTGAATTTTCTGTGTAGGGTCATAGAAAATCGGAAACTTGCAAGAAAAATTGGAGCAGTCAGTATTGCAGGTTCTTTTACCAGCTTTTTTTAATGGTGCAAAGTTTGCATTGATTGAGCGTTTCTATCAAAAGTTATGATTTCCCTGAAAAATGCCAAAATAATCAAATTCGCCCTTTTGTATTGCTTGCTCGAAAATCATAACTTTTCATAGAGACGCTCAATCAATGCAAACTTTGCACCATTAGAAAGAGCTGGTAAAATGGCCTACACTACTGACTGCTCCGATCTTTCTTGCAAGTTTCCGATTTTTTATGAGCCTACACAGAAAATTCAAGTTTTGACTAATTTATTTCTATCGCTCCTATCTATGCAACAGATGATCTTTAGCAAGCAGCTAAAATGTCATTATGAAGAGCATGAGTTACTTTTTTATACAAAAATAAACGCAGCCAAATTGGTTGAAAAAATCGGAAGTTATGAATTTTTGAAAATGGGGGAAGAACTTTCGGCCAGCCTAATATGTGCATACTTGCGTTATCCCCTAATTTTGTCATAAGAAAAATCATGCCTCACATTTCCATCAAGGCGACCGACGCATTCACCCGGATTGTCTGAATAAGCTGCAGCAGCCAGAGGGAGCATTCTCTTGAGAGCGAAGTCATGGGAAAAGGAGTCTTGGGACTGAGCTCCGACCACAACAAACGAAAGCGTAGCAATTAACCCAAACATCCTGAAACTTTTAATGAATGAACATCTGTTTGAACAAATTTGGCTAGTTTTCAAAATACGTTTTGATATTAAATAATACGCCTTTGTGGATCTGAAATTTCAAAGCAAGTTCTTTTTTCCCTCATTCCAGCCTGAGTTGTTCTATGGATGAAGCACCAACCCTTTCAATATAGTCAATCTATGTTTTTTTTTACTTTTTTGCCTCCATGAATATAGTTAATGCTTCAAAACATGCATATTTGTTTTCGCTAAAGAAGAATCATCCTACAACGTTATTAGTCAATGTGTGCGCAAACTTGATTGATTTGAATATCCACGAGATTATCTTAAAGGCAGCGGCTCGGCAGAATGATAACTTTGGGATATTTATCGTTCTCGGCTCCCCTAGATGAGCTAAATCCAAGGCTGTGCTTTGCAGCTTCGGCAGATTATCAATAACCCGTTTTTTCCAAACCTGAAAAGTGCTATTTGGGCGGGCCACGAAGTAGCTGGTCGAGCCAATAATCCAATTGCCGCCGAGATGTTTACGGTGTCTCCACAGACGAGCCAATCGCGCTTTAGAGGGCATATATACGCCGTCCGCCCAAATAGCACTTTTCACGTCTGGAAAAGCGGGTTATGGATACCTTTTGAAGCTGCAAAGCACAGTTTATGCTTTGCAGCTTTAAAGACTTAGCTCATCCAGAAGAACCGAGAATGGAATAAACCGAAGTATGTCATTCCGCCGAGTCGCTGCCTTTGAAAGCAATGTCCCGGAAAAAATTTGATTTCCTATTCTTCACCTTTTCGAAGCTTTCTCGCATGCCTTACCCATTTCTGGTGCGCCTGAAAATGGCCAAAATGGGCTTTTTTCGAGTTGCGTCGTGGGCGGTCCGGACGAAGGGGCGGGACTCGGAAAGCTTTTGGAGTGGATTACAGGTTTTCTAGATATGCTTTTTTGCTTCACACTTTACTGATAGATTAGGTGGGGATCTGCCGTTGCAATGCTGTAAAGTCCAAGTACCCATCATTTTGCAGGAACGCTGCCTTTGAGCTGCATACATGGTCCCAACATTTTTGTTTTAGATCTATTTTAAGATAGTAAGGTTGAATAGCTTATGCAAACCCCCTCTACGCCTTTTTGGGAATTTGAAAGGCTTTTAAAACATCTTGAACACTGAAATGGCTCTGAAGTGGCTATCTGATGTTCATGTGGCAATAAAGATCGGCCTCTTGACAAACACCCAAAATGGCAAGTAAACTTTGGGAAATGCATGTTCAGTGCCTGCCGTAATTCTATATCCTCAAGGTGAGACGCTACTGCGAGAATACTGGTGATCTGCGGATCAGGCAACTCCCGCAGCAAATCTCCAGCAATCTCTCTGAATTTCTTCAATATTTCTCTCCTTTCGGATGTATTCGCTTCCGATGGATAATCTCTATCAGAAATCTCCGCAAGTGTTAGCATCTCCATTTTCAACACCTTCCAGACTACTCGTTTATAAAAACACATTCACCCCCTTCCTGTCCGCGGCTAAGCCCTCAGTTTGAAAGCATTTCAAGAAAGTTCTATGATGCTCAAAGAAAGGAAGGATAGTACAGATTAGGAGCATGCCCACTTTAGACTACATTACATCTATGAGCAAATTTTCGAGAGAATCGTTTTTGTGTTTTCCCTGGCTTCACACTTCAAGCAGTTTCTTGGTAAAAAATGGGGAACCTTGGTCTAACTCAAAACTTTGCTAGTATAGGTCTTGTGGACAACTTTTTACGAAATCAAAGTCGTTTCACTGTAGCATCTTACACAGAGTCACTGTGTAGAGGATAGAGCTGAATTGCGCAAGTCCAAAATTCGACGTTCGGCGAAGTGTGAGTTTCGTATTTGAAATCAGAACTCTAATATAACCTGAGTAAGTAGTAGAATGAGAACAGTCCACTTTATTGCGATGGAAAGTGAGTGTTTCTAAAATTTTTTCAACGCTTCACCTCTCGCAGTTCATAAATATTGAAAACAATGGCAGGGATTTGTCACCAAGAAATTTACACCAAATTACGAAAAAGGTCTCCTAGGAACGAACCATGCTTAGTGGTTATGCTACTACGAATGGAAAACACGAATTTCGAAAAAGTATTTAGTAGTTGCGGTGTTTTGGCACATACGAAGAAATCAAGGAATGTAAGCTGTTATAGGTTAAATGGATGCATGATGCATTTTTTTGCCGACCCCTCGCTCCTGTAATTGATCGATGACTCAACAAGACAGCTCTTCATTATTGAAGTTGAATTTTTCAAAAATCTGTAACTTGTTCAAAGTGTAAATGAAGTGAGCGGAAGGAAATATACAAATATTGGATATATAGGAGCATCAGAAGTGGGCGAGGCTTATAGTTTACACCTATACAGCGTACGTCGTTCGTAATTCTTCAATTCTGCAGTATTACATGCTGAAAAGCCTAACAAAGGCTATATGAAGTCAGTGGAAGGAAGTATACATGTATCGGATATATAGGAGCATGAGAAGTGGACGGGGCTTAGAGTTTACGCCTATACAGCGTATGTATAGCGTATATGAGAGGCGCATATGAATCTCCACTTCATTTTTTTAGAGAACAGACGGCTTTTACTCTAACCAGCAGTGATAACCAGGGTCAGGCAAGAGCTGTGGCATATAGCCGCCGAATACACCTCCCTTCTAAATTCCGTCACGATTGCCTTCTCCCCCCCCCAACGTTTTCGTTTGCCTACCGTAGGCATGACATAAATTGTCTATCAGGCATAACTAGCACAGGGGCCTGCATGGTCGCGAGAGTCGGATGCGCGTACGGCCATTGCGCTGCGCACGTCCGATGTTACTGACAAGGGAAGTCCGATTAGTCGAAGTGGCCTTTCCGAATGAGTCTATACCATTTTGAAAAGCGTTAAACGCTAATTCCGAATCTGATTTTATTAACTGCCGAGCGCCCCTGCATGCCGAGTTATACATGTTTTTCGGAGCGAAAAATGAACGCAGAATTCAAGTAAAATTAGCTATTACGGGCTTTTTAGCACCTAAATAAAGCAACATGTACTATGAGTGTTTTGAACAGAAGGTATCCTTTGAAATGGAGTGCTTTGATAACCAACACTGGACCATTTGAGCAATTCTGACCAATTTTGCTCTAGATACGCATTTAATTTTTCAACCCAAAGAACGCTCATAACTCGGCGTCCAGAGGCGCTCGGCACATGACGAAGACAGATTCGGAATTAGCGTTAAACGCTCTTCAAAATAGTTTATGACCCATTTGGAAAGGCCACTTCGACCGATCCGACCTCCCTTGTGAGGAGGGTCCAGACTTATCCTGTTTAACCGGTTCTTCCGGTTCACTCATTCGGCTATTGGTCAAATCAATGCACTGACCAATGAATGATCAGCAATTGCATCGCCATAAACAGGCAATGGAAAGGTTTTGAGCTCAAGTCGGCATGTGAAATATGTATACGCTTCTATGATTGGTGTAGAAAACGAACTTCAATGAAAAGACAATCCGGATTAGGAGAAACATATTACGTGGAGCAACGCGTGCGCGTCGCTGAAGGCTTCCGACCGCATAGCGCCGGCATTTTACCAAGCAAAGACTACAAAGAAGGAGAGACGAAGACTCGGGTTTCTCTGCACGATATAGTATATTGTAATTGCGAAACGGCGCGAGCCATTGCGAAGCGGACGCTCGCCAATCCAATTTCCACCTAAAGCGGGTCGAAATTTACCACGGGTGAGGGTGGGTTGTTCTGCGCGCGCGAGCAGCTGGCAGCTAGCGGCTGGCAGAGCTATCGTTATTCTTGACCGCCAACCATTGCTGTAATCGCATACTCAGATCGCATACATAAATCGCACGCTATATCTTGCGATGCAATATTCTGGAGCGGTGTCGCTCCTAGGGCACTAAGGCACAAGGTACCGACGCAAGAGTGCAGCATCTCCGTTCAAGATGCACGAATTGCATCAGTACCTGTTCCAATTCTGAAACAGGTATTATCGCTTAAAACAAGGAGGAAATAAAGAGGTAGTGACTGCCCCGCCTGCGAAGAGCCTTTTTATATGTTCCACCTTTTATACAAATGTACTGAGTTCTTTGCACAGCTGATTGCACAAGTTTTTTAATAGGAGGTCGTATTGAATGCTCTTCTTTTGAATCCTCGCATCACGGGTTTGCCGCAGCAGTGTTCGACTTTCACTGATTTTGGAAGTGCTTCATTACTTTGTAGCAAACAAGAGCAAGCAGATTAAGATGAGGGAACTATAATAGTAACTGCTTAAATCGATGACCGCTAAGTGGTTGTGGGACATACGTATGCTCTAGAATGGATCTGCACATCTTCAGAATCTATCTCAACGGCTTTTGCACTTTGTTTTTGGATCCATAAAACTCTTCTCCTGATAAGAAGTCATAAAAAAGATTGCCCTTTACTGCATCTACCTACTGTAAGTCACCACCATAAACATATTTGGTCCAGTCATAATTTGATGTGCGCATTGCCTTACGACTTGCATGATAAGAACTTGAAAATTTCTGGGAATTCCTCCCTTGTCTTCCTACTTCTTTAGTTTCAATGGTTATGTGCCTGGGGGGCCATCGCTCACACTTGGGTGCCATGGCGTACAGCAGATAAGTGCTGTGAGCCATTGCTCCCTTTGGGAGCCATGGGACACATAGCGAGCGATAGCGTTCATCCTGGATCTTGCGATTGGGAGGAGTGAAAAGCCTAAAATTTCTTTTATAAATTGTAGTTTATAGGCTTTACCTGTGTTTCGAAATTGAGCCAATTCCGATGATTCTAAAGCAATTTATTATTTTTGGAAAAAAATTGATTTTTATTTTCGATATTCGAAAAAGCATGTTTGAACAACTTAAAAAATGGAAAAAACTGCACAGGTGTTTTCTCGAGCTGGACTATTCAATGCCAGCTTTTGGTGAATTATGAATGAATTTAAGAAAATCGGTTTTTTTGAAATTTGGCAAAAAATTGGTTTTTCAGAT